CTGTCCATCGGGTAGTCACTAAACCACTCACATAAGCTTTGGTCTAATCCAAAATGTTTAAGTTTACTAAGAAGACCTAAGTGGGATACCTTATCGAATGCTTTACTAAGATCGATAAATACAACATCCAGTAGATGGTTTTAATCCCTGGCCTCGACCCAATCTTCCCTATCTAACAGTAAGTTTGTCAAGCAGGATCGTCCTGGTCGGAATCCATGCTGTTCCACTGCCAGTAAGCCATAGTTTTCCGTATTAGCTAAGAGCTCGTCCCTAATGAGTTTTTCTAACACCTTTGCTATAATGCAGGTCAGACTTACAGGCCGGTAGTTAGATACTAACTGTCTATTCCCATCTTTGAAGATGGGGCTTATAAAAGCATCTTTCCGGTCCCTGGGTAACCTAGCCTGGGTCAGAGACATCTGAAAAATCTCCGTAAGTGGAATGTATATTATATCCGCCAGGGGGCCTAGCAATCTAGGGTGAAGTCCGTTTGGTCCAGGTGATTTACCTGGCTTCAACTTAGACAGTAGTTTCAGAACCATTGCATCATCTACCACAATTGGGGGCATTTTAGGGGCTAGACCAGTTACCTCGCTACACCCCTGGGTGGTACGATTAGACGAAAAAACATCACAGAAATATTCGGAGAGCTCCTCAGCTTTTTTTTCGTCTGACTCGGCAGCCTCTCCTGTGTTGCTAATGAGGGACCGTATGCCACTACTAGTTTTAGTCCTGCGTTTGATATACGAGAACAGTCTTTTTGGATAATGCACACAATCCAGTACTAACTGTCTCTCATACTCTATACGACTTTTGTCAATTTCATACTTGCAAAGGTTTCGAACTTTGCGGTATTCCATCCAAAACTCATCCCTCCCAGTCACAGCAAACCGGTCCCATAAGTTATTTCGTTTTCTTAGTAACCTCCTTATTTCATTACTAATCCAAGGTGGTTTCTGAGATAATTTCCGAGGCGTAGACCAAGGTACAAAGGGTGCAGAGACGCACTCTAGTGTGTTCCTAAATCCCATCCAAGCCTCCTCGACAGTCTGGTGTGTGTTAACAGACCAGTCAGCTAGGGTTGCTGCATTTCGGATTGCAGGTATATTCGCTTTCCAAACGTTTGGGCGAGCGGCTGTTGACCTATGTATGACGGCCTGGATCCTGAACATAAAAGTAATAACTATGTGGTCACTACTGCCTAGCGGCGCCAGGCACCTAATGTTACCAACATCCTCCTTCTGGTGTGTTAGCACCAAGTCTAGAGTGGACGGATCATGTTCAGGATGGTATCGTGTTGGTGCATCCATACGCTGCACAAGTGCGCATTCAAGTACTGCCACTACTAGTTCCTTACTGAAACAATTGTCCGAAGTAGCTGATGTTAATTCCTCCCAATTAATATGCGGGGCATTAAAATCACCTACTATTAGACACCTATTCTTTCTACTCCACGTCCTGATGTGATTTATAACGAAATTGTCAGCTTGGCTGGTAGGACTTCTATAAATAACCCCTATCGTTACAGTGCCTTTAATCAAGTTAATGACAACCTGCGGCTTCACATGTGCCACTGTCATGAGCTTCCGACAAGGTCGACCTAATTCCTATGTCATCTCGAATGTATAGAGCGACCCCCTCACCTTTCCGGCTACTTACTCTATCTGCTCTAATGCAGATGTACCCAGGTATGAGTGGAGTTAAGTCTATACCCATTAACAACCATGTTTCGGTGATAGCAATCACATCCAGCTGTAGTTCCTCAGTCAACACTCCTAGTTCAGGAAGCTTATTCCTAAGACTACAAGGGTTCGTGTATCATACTGAGAGACCTATGTGTTCAGAGGTCTAGGTAACATAGGTTTCCGAGACCTCACTACCCGAAAACCCAACAGTTTGAGGTCTTTTCACCTTTTTCTAATCGGGCCTTTAAATCAGCCACAGCTTCTCTTCTCCTAATTCTATCTTCCAAAGGCCAGTCTGGCCTAATTCTCATCTTTTTATTCTTGATCTTGAATGCGTTGTTGAGAATAATAGTTTTCTCCATCTCGTTCCCCAGCACTACCTTCAGCAGTCGTGGGGGACTTTCCATTGCATCGGCGATTCGTTTACCGATTCTGATGACTTTCCTTATGGAGATGACGGTTTGCTGATTCTCCTATAGGCTGATGGTGATAAGCCAGTGCAAACTTTATGGAACCATAGGTTGCAGTTATCACACTGCATCCCATCCTCCACCGGAAAGTGGCAATCCGGTCGTCCACAACTATTTGTGGGACTCATGTCAGTATAAGCTGCTTAAGTTACACACAAATATGTATATATATACCTAAATACCGAGATATAAAAACATAAAAAGTCACAAAAGGGCACAAAAATAGACACTACTTCAACTTATTAAACCAGTTAAAGTAAACCAAAAAGCTTCTGATGCGATTTACACAACAAAAGCAGAAGTTACTTCACAACGTAAAAAATGGGGTGATGATAAACGTTATCGTGATATGTTATCGTGCACTGTATGGGTTATCGTGTTCACGCCTATAGAGGGGTTATAAGCGTTTATTTTTGTGAAAGTAGATAATATATGACTGGTTTCAGGCTTCTGTAGCCGAAAAAGCAATATTTTCCAGTATTGTGTTCGTATTAATGGATGAACCTCTCATGATATCCCAGAGGATGTATTACATCAGGAACTCATCGTATATGAGAAATTTAGCATAGAAAGACTATTCTTCGCGTTTTAGAGCCGTAATGGTTTGTTATTTGCTAGTTTTTTGAGGATATTAAGGTTGAAAATTAACTATGTTTTCATAGCAGTTATTCTATGATAACGAGACATTTGAAGTAGAACTAGCCCACAGACACAAGTTAAATATACGTTTTGAGGATGCCACACACTTTTTGATCATCATCCGTGATGATTGAAATATTCTATAACACATCGAAGAGAGCATGCGATGAATGAGACAATCTGCTGAATTTCCTGGTGATCATATCCATTTCGATGAAGTTTCTAGTTAAAATCGCTCAGGTGATTGCAATTTATAACCCAACTTATTGTGCCTGTAGAGATGTCATGCATTCCATGTAAACAACCGTTTATATGACATATTAAATTATTATTTGCTTGGTGCTATACTTTAGAAGAGGAACAATGTGTGTGACAGTGAAAACCACAGAAGAATGCTGTCATGACCAAAGAATGAGAAAGGAGAATGAATCTTTTTCAGCAAAGGTAGGAAAATATAAAGCGTTTCACTTTTACATTAATTATTTCTAACTTCAACGATTTAAAAATTACACTTTATTCACTTACTTGCAGATGTTCGGTGAAGTCAGTCAACCTGGTCACAGCAATTACGCATCCCCGAAGTAATTACGAAAAACAATTGTGTAAAGATATTCGCTTATTATTTTTCATTAAATATATTTAACATCCTGCCTACCATACTTTTCTTATTCTACTTCAGTGAAACTAAATTTGTCATTATGATGAGATGTAGGCCTGACCTACCAGTGAGACCTGAGAAAGTAATTGTAGGCATAATTAAACGTAAGCGAAATTGTACTAATATTGCTACAGCTCAACCTATTAAATTACTCGTCTCGTGTAGACTTCATTTCACACTATATGTTAACACCCGTAATCATATGGATTGACATCACGCTTTAAGTGAAATAATAGTAATACACTACTTGTGATTATACTTAACTTCATACGAAATCGAACTCAATTGCAGGGCCTAAGTTGTATTCTTATTTCTCAAATACTGAAGTTAGGTATTTTTGTCATTAGTCCCTACAGATTTATCTGTGATCAGGAGACGTAATCGTGTAACTTTACGCAGATTTTTAGACTTGAATGAAGTACTTATAATTCACCACTTTTATCGATGGATAGTGTTCCTACAGAATTTCACTTACGTATAGTAACGAATTCATATCCTAGGGAGCACCGGTCTAGCATGCCGTACTCCCAACGCGAACACACGAACAGAAAGACAACAATGTTAATAGGAAAAGCTTATTTTTATTGTAATACGACAGTAGTTAATTTACACATTAAGAAAATGGTCCATTTGTGCGATTACTTCTCCCGCGTAATCTGCGGCAACCACATAGTGAGTGCAGGACAACTACATTGTTAGCATTAAACTACTTCCTCACTTTTCGAAATTCTCCTAATGAATTCTCAAATTCCTCCCAGCTGAAGAAACGCCTTCCCAGCATTACTTCACCGAAATTGCCACTGACATCTGCAGTGCTTTCACTCGCATTGCCTACCTGCAATAAACTAAAAAAGCTTTGTCAATAAGTATTCATCTGTCTCGCAACTGTTTAAATAAATTTCCGTAGAAAAAGCAATATTGAAATACATCACTGAGCAACATCCATCAATAAAATGCTACACGTATAACCTAAAATTGAGAAAAGCACAAGAACTCACGGGTTCCTTGACATCGCCAACATTCGACAGGCCAACAAACCGAGTGTATGCTGAACCAAGCCTTGTACATGCACAAAATAAGTGAAAGGAAACATTAGAATACATTTATATTCATCAAACATGCTTGCAAACAACGCATGCCGCAACCACAGAAACCTGCACACGATATCACCTACCCAGGACAAATTAAACATCAAACTAGCCGCCACTGTTCTAGCTAATCAAAGCCGAGAAAACCCTTAAGCGCGAAAGATTTAACACGTTCTAACGTATATCATCACCCCTTGAGAGGCTCTTAAGAATAACATGTAACGAAGCGGATGATAAGGTCCTTCAGATAAGAACAATGATCTTCGGCAAAATATTAAAATTGTTCTGCACATTTCATAAGACTCAGACACGTTCCACTTGAGTTTCTAAAGTTTACTTGCTCTACTTTGTACTTTATTTCACATTCTGAAGTAGATGTCTGTACTTACAAGATGCGAATAGGTAAGGAAATGTGCAACACTATTCAGGATTTTTATTTATGCATGTTTAGCTTCGTTCGCACGTCCGCTCACTTTGAATTGTTCGGTACCTTTCCTGGAGTTTCATTGAGTTAGTTGTTTATCACATCGCTGTTATTAAGGTCTTGAGACAATATGTATTTCAAGTATCTTTGAATTAAATTTAACCATGGGAGCCACTTCAATCGACTATTACACTAACCTTTAAAAATGGTCTTGGTGTTTTAAATTTCTGACTCACTATAATTAAACAATTGATCTACCTTGAACTCTGAATGATTTCAATTGGTTTTCGAGTGTCGCATATCTGGTGGTCGCTTGCTTAACATCCCCCTTTTGGAATAATTTTCAGTCTAATCTCTTATAGTGCTTCGTAGGAGTTGCTGAAGAATACTTACTCGTCAAATAAAACTCCATAACGTATAACACTCGAAATTACGAAGCGCCATAATGACTGTTATATCTTTGCATTGGTTCATGTATTTGGTGTAAAACTAGACGTTTTGCATTTTTATGGCAACTCCGAAAGTCTCTATCATGTTAACATCGTGAAAATTTTAATTCCTGCATAAAGGTTAAGATAAATTAGCCATATTAGAGAAAATAGGCTCACAATCCTGTGCTTGTCGCAAATATCAGGGAGTGTCTGTTGAGAACTTCAAGATGGGATCTTGAATGCAGGCATCGATAGCAAGGCTCTCTAATGTTCTGTCCAGATATACGTATTGTCGGATTCGTATTAGTATGGGATATTAATACGCAGCGTAGTCCTAATTGCGCACGGAAATGTGTCAGTATATATTTTTTTGCAGCTCAGACTGATTATGAAAACTGGTTGTTTTTAAACTGGATTTGGTGGTTTGACTTTCATGTTTTATTAATAACTTTACTGGAAAACGGTATACTTGCGTTGTGAGTGAATAAACACATGTAAATCAGGAACAACCACCTGAAGCGTCTATCGATTTCCTAATTCATTGATAGAAAATGTTAGCAAAGATCACTTGCCATGCCTCTCTTATTAAATGGTTAAAGACTGGGAACACTGTCGGCTACTAGCAACACAAATGTTGCATGCTATAACAATGAGTCATCCAGGCTAACCCCACATTGATTACCTTTCAATTAAAAGTTGTGTTACACAACGTGTTGGAGTACTGCAGAGATACAAACTAAAATTTCGACAAATTTATCATATTGTCTGCCTGATAAAACTGGTTTTCCGTCCACTGCGCGACTTTCCCTACGGCTCTGTGACAACGCAGTTAAAGGTGGTAGATATAAGATAAGTGTTTGACCATAAATGTCTTGGTGTTGTGATTGTTAATTGAAGTGTTTGTGAAGCTTTACCATTTGAAGTAACTGAGAAATGTTATGCATTCCGCCCCACCATTTTCCTTGCCAACCAATGTCACATAGGATTGTGTTGGCAAGGAGCTAGGGGTGGCCAAACCGTAACATAGTGTCAGTCCATGAAGTTTTTGACTGCTGACATAGGGAAATATAGACTGCCTCGAGACGCGAAGACTTCATGGCTGGAGAATGTAGGTTACATGGATGGACGTCGGTCTCACTGTCGTCTATGCATTAACTTTTTACATTCACTAGATCTTAATTCTCGGTATAATTATTGTTTCTTCACATTCCCACTTATTGTAGTTTCATTACTTTGGTGTGTGTTTACATAAAATTTGGCAACTTAAACTGCTACAACTGGTGCAAAGTTTAGTTGGAAAATTCATTTCAGTTCGCTTTTATTTTTATTACAGCTTGATTCCACACCGTATTTTCGGTACAAGTATGGAATTTTCAGCATGGATATCGGTAGCCCAAATTTACAGGCCGACCATAGATATCGGGTGTGCGCCGGCAGGGGATCGAACCCCGGACCATATGCATGGTCGGCGAGAGTCCTAACCACTGTGCCACCGATCTAGGTTGGTAAATAGGTGGAGCTGGTTTAACCAAATCATGGTATGGTAGTGGAAGTCTTTAGCTGGATGCGAGTCACAGGATCCAGATGCTTTATTAACGTTTCAAGACTGGTGGTGACACTGCTTAAAGTCGTTCACAATGGCGCAGATGTATTCACTCCTTGTTTTCATCCAGATTTTGAGAATACTCACTAGTCTTCATCTAATTGTTTCTTGATCTGTACATCTCACCCATTTCAACTTAAACTGACGCATCTTTGTATAAAGTACTACATTAATCGGTCGATCTGTCATGCAAAATATTAATATTCCTTCAATATCTTTTTGTCATTTTTTCAGTGAGCATCAAGTTCTCAATCACACTTTATAAAGGTTACTATTTTTGCCTTATCTTCGATAATTTAACTCCAAATCAATGAATATCTTACCTAAAAAGAGGTGAGCTTTCCCACTTCTTATCACTCCTTTAGGTGGCATGTACTAAAAAAGGAGAACATTGCCCGTGTGAGAGCAGATGAGGCGAAATTTAATGAAGAACAGAAAAAGATCGAAATCAAAGCACAGCTTGCTGTATGTCTCTTTAACACCATTGAATTAACTTTCTGCGTTTAGGATCAGGAAGCAAGAGTAGATTTCTTGAGAAAGCAGAGGAATAATAAATCGTCATCTGGCTCTGGCTTAGCTGGATTCCAACTGGCTTTAAGCAAGGATAATGTCGTAAGTTAAAGACCCAATAATTGGAGAGCCAAAAGCTAAATGTTTCACAAGGAAATATTGAGTATGAAAAAGAAAAGAAAGAAGAACAGGAAAAAAAGGAAAAGGCGATCGGTCTTCTAACATACTTAGGTCAAACTGTTCTGGATGCTGCAGGTGAAAAACCTTGGTATGATATACATCCTCGAGATCATCAGCGGCGTGAAAGCGAACGTAAAAAGTAAGTACTGTGAAATTAATTCCAATTGTATAGAGACAATGAGGAGATGGAAATAAAAAAGAAAACCTTGGCTGATCCGCTGACAGAAATGAAGAAAGTTGAAAACATGTTTAAGCACCATAAGGAAATGAAAAAACAACAAGAAGCCAGTGAATTACAACGCGCTAATGCTTGCATGCATGCAATGCCATCGCTGTTTCCTGATGACATAATAGTACCAAAGCATCAAAGTCCAAAAGTAAGATTAAGCTCATTAGTGATTTCATTCCTTCTTAGTTTTTACGTGTATAGGATTGCACGGGTGAGCATTTCTGCTTATCGCCTCCACTAAGACTAGAGTATGTTAGGACCTTACTGGCATAAACATCTATAATCTCTATGCTATTGAAATAAATACTGATCTTCAAACCACTTGTTGATAGTTAAATCAGATTTTTATTTTTACGTTATTATTCCTTGACGTTGCCAGTAGAGCATAGGGTTTCAAAACTACTGATTGTACATATTTTTTTCTTTTATTGTGGCTCTGAAACATGGAAAAGATTATGAACCTATATAGCATCATAGGATTAAAGTTTAACCTAAAAGAAAGCAGGCTTAGTGAAGCCAACAATGACTACTATAATTTAGGTTTGTTAATAACTCCAACCAAATAAGATCCATTAAGGTAATGAACACAATAGCACCATTTGTTCGATGTTATTTAAAAAAATCTACTGGTAGTTTTCATAACCCTCTGCTTATTTTCTACTGAACTTATAAGGGTAGCAATAAAGTCACTTTTCTACAGTCGTTTGTGTTATCTTGTTATAGAGATTCACAAAAACGATGAAAGGTCGCAATAGTAGTTGGTGTCTTTGATTATATATTCTCCTTAGACTTCCACCAACTTCAATTAAAGCGAACTAAGAGATGCATTTTATTGGTAGGTATATGTGTGTGTTACTAAATGATTTTAACACTCATGTAATGACTTGCAATGGGGCTAAAATAGAGCAGAGCTTCACCATAAAGTCGAATGCAAAATGTTACCCCAGTACAGCGAGAGAAACGGACCAGTTTGTTATTATTAAATACATAATATTACAGATACCGAGAGATGTGCCACACAAAATCTCATAGCTCATACGAGGGCTGGGATACTGCTCAGATGCCCAGATCGAAGCAGTTGGTTGTCCTAAGGAGCTACCCCCGACCCTTTGGCTTAAAACCTGATCCAAACGGCAACGGAACAGCGTCAGGAGTTACTTTCCCATGTTTACTGAGGATTAAAACAGGTCCATACGCCATTCTATCCTTTCGGATTGTGGAACCCATGTACACCATGGGTTTCGAACCAGGATTTTCCAGCTCCCCTAGGTAGACTAGCACGTCCACCAGTCCGGTTGTAAGCGCCAGACGTTTGCATTCGCTCTCACTTGTGGGAAACACCCAGTCGCGTGAAGACAGTTAATATGACTTACCTGGCAGGGGCTATGGATGCGTAACCATATGGAAGCATGTTAGGAGTAAGACCGATGTCTATCTACCCTTAGCCGAAATTTGGTCTGGTAAAATAAATATCAGTAGACTGAATTATTTCTACCAATTTCTAAAGAAAAACCTGATCTTTTTCCCAAATATTCTCGGGAACGTTAATATGATATCAGCTTTCCTTTAATTATAGATGGCTGCACAAAAGAAAGTCGAAAATGGAGATCTTCCAAAATCAACCGAATCTATACTCACACTTAGTGAGCACACGTCGAAAGCACCACCTACAGAAGTTCTTCTGAAATCTGATGATAAAATTGAGAAGTCAAATGTAATTGAAATGGCCAAGAGTTCAGAAATCAATCGTCTTCGAGCAGAACGACTACAGCGCGAGCGAAAAGAAAGAGACAGAGCAGCAGTCTTGCTAGCCAAGTCCATGGGGTTGACAGACGTCTTAAGACACCCGATTGAGGAACAAGTTTGCGTTGACGAACGTAAACTGCCCTTCAATTCTGCATTTAATCCTGAACTATCTGCCGTTCTAGCTGAACGACGTCGACGCCACAGGGAGTCACGGAAACGACACTACGATGAACAAGACTAGATTTTTTATCTGAAGGATAATAATTACGTAAATTGTATATATGCATGTTTGCAACCGTCTTTATATAAAACTGTTCGTAATACGTTCTGGTATTTGCAGTAACACTTTCAAAATGTGATTTCGATCGGCGGCCTCTCCACATTCTGATTTTAACGGAAACATTACCAAGAATGACTTTATTCCTTTATTTTACTAGTGGGTTTTATGGACTTACATGTGCAGCAATACTTCCGATAGTCAAGATACTTTCAACGACAATGCAGTAGAAAGATTCATCAGAAAATAATTTGATTTCTTAATAATAAAGAGAATCTACTAACACTAATAACTTCTATTTTTCTCAATTACCCACTAAACGTTGGTATTGCTCCATGGAAAGCACGACCAAACATTACCTTTCGAAAATCGGCTTGCAGACTACCTTTATTAAAAATCACATGAGGTAAACTCCATGAACAGAACGTTCTCAGTTAAACTATCTTTGCGATGGCTTTCGTGCTTTTTAAACACTTGTGAATCTCCTATCCTTCACCATGTACAACTACTTAGGCCTTCTCAACCATCTCTATTCTATAACTGTTGAAGGTTACTGTGGATATAGACCGCGGTCACTTGCAAAAGTACATCGTATTCATTTGCAAATGCTAATTCGTAATTTGAACAACTCATTTGATGTCACACTGAAACAGTTTTGTCTGCATACTAATTGTTGAGTAGCATTTTTCTCGATTAGACACTTACATCACTCACACTAATATATACTATAAAGGGGTTACCAGTAACTAAGAGATGACAGGGTCAGGTGGTCCCATTGTTCGTTTGTATTCCTAGAAAGGGATGAATATACGTCTTCTCCGCAAAAGTTAGACAGCAACACGACAAAAACCAGATCCCTATAGAGAGTGTAAACTGCTGACAAATAGGGCTGTAATAGCGGCGAGGTGCTTAAGTCTGACTATCAGCAATGCTGCGTTTCTTCTCCAGTGAGGTAGAAAACGTTGGTTTCAGAACTATATATGCCAATTTACTCTGCAGTCATGAGGTTGGGATATGTAACTGTGTAACCCAGCAATCAATGCATCCAGGACGTTAATAATACTTGGTGTTCTTCACCTGCTTTTCGTGACAACGGTCAGGATTTCTGACCTGATTGTTAGCAGATTTAAATTTAAATAATGGTTGCTGCGGAAATATCATTTCAGAATATTGAAATATTATCAGTTCATAAACTGGATAGTTACGTCTTCGATCATAATCTCTTTTAAGTTATTTTGATAAGGAGATTTGCAGTACATTGAAGCAAGTTTTACCAGAGGATGACTTGTAGTCTCCTATGAACTGCATGAAAGAAGCTGTAACTGGCATCCTGGACTCATCAAAATGTGTGGCGAAGTTTTCTCCCTGACATCAAACAACCAGCCACTGTTGCATCGACTGGGTAGAAACAACTACTAACAAGTGATGAATGAATAGGATTCGCTGTCATCTAAGTTGTGCCTCCACTGCTGTGAACAAACTCTGATGATATTTTACTCTACATAATACTTTGAATCAGGTTTCATTTTACATCAAGTAATTTAATAAAAACTTAGGTACTTGACTTTCAGTCAAAATGGGTCCCGCATCCGATTACTCTCCACCTACTTCAGCCCGAGCAACTGAATCCTATTATCAGTTCTTATACAATATGTATAGTTCATAGCCTTAAGCATGAGAAATCTGTTTTCAGTAGCTGAGTTAACGACTGATGTCATGTCCGATGGGGAAATATGACCGGATTCCATTCTTATATCACAAACCAAATACCTGTAAAACGGCTAGAACTATCGTGTTTCGTGCGAATATTAACCTTATTTCACTTAGAAAACGGTCACACACATGTCAAGAGCATACATTTAGGAGACGGATAGTTTGCTAGAATTGACCAGTATTTATATTGGATACCTCTGGTACACTACTATATATTAGTTGTGTGCCAGTTTTGTGAACAGTTTTGCTATTCAAACATTTTCTTCATATAAAGTACCAGATACGGATGAACTTCTAGGTATGATAATCAGTTCCAGCTTTGAGAATGTTACCAGAGGATGGTGAATTGACGCAGAACTTTGCACAAAAGTGCATAACTTTAACTTGCTACCATTAGGGAAACCATAAAAAATGAGAGGACAAAAATATATTGACAAATATAGCTATGACGGTAGCAATAATTAGATGAAGACTATTGGAGTCTAGATGATAAGGAAGAATCACATTAACGCTACAGTGAACGATTACGTGCTATATCAGCAACAGTTTAGAATCGTTTGTTTTTAGTAACTCAGACTATTACTGCAACTATTCAATAGATGCCATACTTTCGTCTGACTCCCGTTGACTTCTCAATTTATACTCTAACTTTCCAACAGTATTTATCTTTTGGGAAATAAGAGGCATGAACCATTTACAATAACAACCCCAATACAGTGATAATATTATCAAAAAATATACAAGAACCTGATGACTGGTGTTTACTGATGGTAAAAATGCAGTTATTTAAAACAGCTTTGATTTAACTTTTTTATTTTAAATAGAAAATTCTTGATTGAATGGTGGGTAACAATCACGAATTTGAGTATGAATTATATAAAAGATTACTTCCCGTATTTTACAGTATATTAAATATGATGTACAAACCTTCAAGTATTCAGCAAGTTACACTTTGAAAAATCGAAGTAGTGATCAGGAATGTCGATACCCTGACTCGTGATGTCTACTGGGAAGAGTTTTTTAATAATGCATTCCAGACATTGGCTTAACTGCAACATGGTAGGACGCAATCCAGGATCTACAGACCAACCACTAAAAAACATCAAAATTTGAAATAGTTTCACTTAGGACAATGTACATTCTTTTTAGAAATTACTTGTGATGATTTACTATAAATGTCAATTATATATATATATATATATATATATATATGTCTCGTAAGTTGTGGACTTGACGCAGACACAAAACGTTGGTTTTACAAGACTATAGTGGAGCACGACAACGACTGGTGCAAAATTATACTGTGGGTGCTGAAGCACAAGAATTGAAGTTGCCAAACGGTTAAGGTATATGTCTGTGCACCGAATTTGCTGTTCTGACTATTTTCACTGTCATCTATCTCTTGCATAGTTCGCATCACAACTGGAGTAGTCACCAGAAACACAATAAAAGTAGCCAGTTGTATTTCTTAGAAAAGGTATCTACTATGAGTGTTCGCACTTATATGTGTTATGTTTGAAATCCTGCCAATGACTGAGATGTGTGGAGGTTCTTCACAAAATAGTAATTATAACGATGGTTCATAAAGCATTCGAAACACTGTCATTTCAAATTACCGTGCTTATATGAAGCCTTCAAAAGTCACACAATCCGAAGTGCACGCGAAACCTCTCTAATCCTCACTCATCTTTGTCTTCATCTTCATCTCTATTATCTTGCCTTCCTTCTACTGATGAAACTCCTCTACTTGATGGCTCTTCACTTCCTCTTCACTCTGTGTGCACTGAAAACGACGGAAGCCAAAAAGCCATCATCGATAGTCTCCTAAAGCCACGCCACCAATTTCATATAGGAGCATTTAATGTTAGGACACTTTGCCAAATAGGACAACAAGCATCACTAGCCAAGACTCTGGCATCCCGAGCCATTGATGTATGTTGTGTTTCAGAAACACGCATACAAGACCCAAGTGTGGTTATTCACCTAACCCCACCTGGCCAACAGGATGAATCTGCAAAATTCACCTTGAGGGTGTCAGGGGATGCGACGGCTAGCTCACGAGGATTAGCTGGTGTTGGGATAGCTTTAAGTACTAGAGCAGAAAAGACATTACTTGACTGGATCCCGGTAGATAGCCGAATGTGTGCTGTCCGTCTGAACGGATCAGTGAAAAGGAGAAAGGACTGCACTACTCGCCGATGCCTTTTCGTAATCTCCGCCTACGCCCCCACTGACTGCAGTTCGGATGAAACGAAGGATGAGTTCTACCAAAAGCTGTCTAGTTTTCTGCGAAAGGCTAAACGCTCAGATATAGTCGTTTTAGCTGGTGACTTTAATGCTCAAGTAGGGAAATTGTACCAATCTGAGAAGAATGTCGGTGGCACATACGGAATTCCGTGCCAGCGAACCGACAACGGTGACCGTCTCCTACAGTTCTGTTCAGATAATCATTTGTTTCTTGTAAGCACTAACTTCAAACACAAGGAGAGACACTGTTTGACCTGGCGACCTCCATCATCAAACCAACGCTGGACACAAATAGACCACATAGCAATAAGCTATCGTTGGCGTGGGTCGGTAGGAGATTGTCGCTCCTTCTGGAACACGTGTGTAGATACCGATCACGCACTGGTCCGCGCTCGTGTGTGCTTACGACTGAACGGACGTAGGAAACAGCTGGCGGTAAACCCATCACGTCCCCAGCTCGATCAGGAAACTAAGTCCCTATTTGAGGAAGAACTAGCTAAACACATATCTGAGTTCGACAGCTGCGCTCACCCTGAAGAAGCCTGGAAGAATATTCAGTCAGCCATAGATATAGCTGTAAAAGCTGTGAATAAGGTAAATCCAAAGGTGAATAAGAACCATTGGATTTCGACTGCCTCATCCGAACTGATAGATGCTAGAAGACTTATTCCGGCGAGCTCCGAATTCAATGAGGAGCGAAAGCTGCACAAAAAGAAACTTACGAAAAGTCTCCGCAAGGACCGTGAACAGTGGTGGTTGACAAAGGCGAAAGAGATGGAAAAAGCACCGACGATAGGCAACACCAGACAACTATTCAGGCTTATCAGGGAAACAGGTGGTAAAAGGCAAATGATAAGCGAAACAATCTCCGAGAAAAATGGCACCATAATTAGCTCCCAGGATAGACGTCTGGAGCGCTGGAAAGAACACTATGAGGAGCAGTTTAATTGGCCCACAGCCACACTTAACCTGCCGGACATCCAACACCTCCCTGAATGGGAGGTAGACACAGGTCCCCCGTCCTTAACTGAGGTTACTAAAGCTGTCACCAATCTGAAGCAAGGCAAAGCAGCGGGACCTGATTTATTGACTCCAGAGGTATTTAGGTACGGTGGAGACAGTTTACTGTCTGCGTTAACGGAGGTTCTAGGCAGCGTCTGGGAATCAGAGGAAGTCCCATCGGGTTGGTGTAAGTCACTGATCATCCCGATATACAAGAAGGGAGACAAGTCTTCTTGTGATAATCACAGAGGGATTAGCTTGACTAATATAGTATCTAAAATCCTAGGCTCAATAATACTGCGTAGACTAAGTGGTGCTCGGGAGACACAAACACGAGAAAACCAGGCAGGTTTTAGGCCAGGTAGAGGGTGTATTGATCATATCTTCACCCTTCGACAGATTCTAGAACATAGGCATTCCTACCGGCGTCCGACAATCATCATATTTCTTGACCTAAAGGCGGCATTCGATTCTGTCGACCGGGAGGTTCTCTGGCGATGCTTGGCTGTAAAGGGAATGCCGAGAAAATACATTGCACTGATTAAGGCACTCTACTCGTACTCATGCAGCCAGGTGAGGGCTTATGGCGAGTTGTCATCTGAAGTGGTGACGACTAGTGGCGTCCGTCAAGGATGCCCATTATCCCCATTTCTATTCAACTTCATCATAGACGTACTAATGGACTTAACCCTAACACACTTCAGCGACTCAGGGATTGACTTGCTACCAGGGAATAATCTCGTTGACTTAGAATATGCGGACGATATAGTCCTTCTAGGCGAGGACTCTGACAAAATGCAGAGTCTACTGAACACCCTGAGCAACAATCTTCGTATGTTTGGCATGCGATTCGCCCCTGTAAAATGTAAGATGATGCTGCAGGATTGGACTTCACCGACCCCTAGATTAGAAATAGGAAGTGAAGTGGTAGAACACGTTGACCGCTTCAATTACTTGGGAAGTACCATCAGCCCCAACGGGTTGATCTCAGACGAAATTTCAGCACGAATACAGAGGGCTAGGTTCGCATACGCCAGTTTTCGCCGTCTCTGGCGTAGACGCGATATCCGACTATCGACCAAAGGGCGTGTGTACTGCTCAACAGTCCGCTCCGTCCTCCTTTATGGCTGTGAGACCTGGCCATTGAGAGCAGAAGACATGAAAAGATTAGCTGTCTTCGATCATAGGTGTCTGCGTTCTATCTCCCGCGTGAAGTGGTATAATAAGGTGAGCAATATTGAGGTTAGGCGTCGAGTGCTAGGTAAGGCGGGGAAATCAATCGACGAAACGGTGAAATTACTTCGACTGAGATGGTTAGGACATGTGTTACGTATGCCTAGTCATCGCCTTCCTCGACGGGCAATGTTAGCTGATATAGGGCCAGGCTGGAAAAGAGCTAGCGGCGGTCAAACGAAAACATGGCACCAGTCAATGAAATCCACAACAGTTAGTTTAAGCCACGTAGGAAGGTGTAGACTTCCTGGTTGGGGTCCTCGGGATGGTAAAAACCAATGGTTGGAAACAATTGGTGACATGGCTCAAAATCGTTCTCAGTGGCGCAGATGCATCCACTCCTTGTGACTTATGATTTCCAATTAAACTGTTTTGTTCTCCGTTATTACTATTCCTTTGTCTCACACCTCTGTTTACTGTCTATATTATGCATTTCTTCTACTTTCTTCTCTTGCTTTGCGTGCTACATGGATTGTGGCGACTTGAACTGCCGCACATATGTGCAAAGTTCTATGTCGAAAACCGACCGACCGACCGATGTAGCTCTCATGAATAACCTTGATAAAAGCATGCATAATTGTTTAACAGTTGTGGAGCTTTCACTCTTGAATAGATATACTTTACAAATAAAATTGGTCCAGATTAACAAATCTTTGTGAGGAACACACCAGACCCATAAAATAAATACATAGAAAATGAAAATATCACATGTCATACAATGACTAATGGGAAGAAATGACATACCTTTGAAGAATGCTGTTTAGTAATTCAGGACATCCATCTAGCAGAGGTGGTCGTTCAGTAATAGAAGACCAAAATTTATCTGATACATCTCGCCTTTTAAGAACTTCATAGGGTGGCTGACGAGCTAAGAATTCCCAAAATGTAATCATTAAACTATAAACGTCTGATTTCCCTGAATATGGTACATCTTCCCCTACAAATGTTTTATAAAATAGATTATGTGAAGGAAACAAGAACGGAGAACATTTTGTACACAATAGCGTTATTTCAAATTTCCAATTATAAAATATTTAGAACAACACATTCAAGCGAACAATATTGTTTCCAATTCGATCTCAGCAGGTTTAACCCTAATATACGTAACATTACAAATAAAAATTCAAAGATAAACCAATCATGGTGTTTTGCTAATAGGATAATAAGATTGCATATAAGTTGTGCGATTAGCCATGCTAACAATGGCTCTTTCAGTAACACGAATGAAAAAGTGAAGTGATCTCTGATAACAATAACGAAAACAGTATAATCAAACAACTGCTCAGGTAGAAATAGTCGTTAAAAACTAAGGAAAATAAATGAACCGATTAAGTAATGCTACATTGTAAGGGAAGTAAATGAGACACGTTTTTAATGAAGATGTGATAACATTAAGGGATGATAAGAGAGGGGTTGAAAATATAAGTAAGGGTTAGTGGGCAAGTCATCAGTTGGTTAGGTCTCAGTAGGCCAAGAGAGGGATAATGGTTGTACGAACTTCTTTTGAATGCATACTTTAGGCTGAATAGTTCGAATGCCTATCCCCTCAGCTGTGTGCAGTAGAGGAATACGAAGTCTATTGGAAAGATTCGGTGGGATGCGATGAATTAATTTGAAAGCTCTCATTTTCTCCACTACATGACCACTATCAACTAAATGTGACAAAGTGAAGATACGGATGGTTTTTGTCTATCATTTGCCAAACCAAGATGGGAGATGTTCAATAACAAGTTGGCTAAGCTGTCTAGTAGTATGCCCAACATAACTGTCACCGCAGGTGTAATTGAACTGATAAATGCACATAGATGTGGCAAAACTATCTAGATTATCCTTCGTTTGCGTCCCAGTCATTCTTTGGCTTGAGAATGACAAACAGGTTTGCTGTGTAAAATGTTCTTCGTATACTCCTGGAAAATCTCACTTGAAAAGTCACCATTAATTTGTAACTTAATAAATAGAAGTTTTTTACGTGCAGTCAGAGTCTCAGGTTTTCTCTCAAATGTTTCCATGTTTCTTTATGAAACTATTCGGATAGCCCATCTTCGTCAAGGAATCGCGAATATATTCAAATTCATTTTGTAAGAGGTCATCCGTACATATTGTTCTTGCTCTGCTAGTAAGACACTTAACATTTATATTCAACGGGCACGTAACTAAGGAAGTGTGTATTGCCCTGTGAATGTGCCTTTTCTAACCACGCTTCTCCCAAGTAAGCAGAAAATATTTATATACGTATAAACATTCTATATGCACCATAATGTGTGGAACAAACAATAAGAAATAAAATGCAATTTAGAAGTTACATATAGATTCATGTTTTACAATGTATTTACCCTAAATGTTATGAATAAATTGTTTTTTTAGATCACTGGACTATGTCTGTGGACATACTGAGAGTGCATTCAATGCCTAGGTAATACAACTTAAAACAGTCAGATCAGAAGGCATAGTGGAGACAAACTGAATTCCCAAAGAGAGAGATACATTACTCACTGATATGTAGATAGAACTGATAACTAAGGCAATTGCAGTAAATAATCCCTAATGGCAGGTTTATATAAATTCAAACATAACTGCACTTCCCCTGACCACCTCAGGTTAATAATAACAACAACTATAAAAGGAATGCTGAATAAAAATATTGAAAAACAATATGTTATCCAACCAGTCTATAAAACTGTCTATAGTCAGCCTTTTACACGCATAACTGGCATGAAGATCCGGAACAGCAAAGGCAATGCATTTTTTGTAAAAGCTGTTGACTATTGTAGTAAGAGCACAGGACACTCTAGAATACTATTAGCAGAAGAAAAGTTATGGTATTTACTCCCAACAAAACCTATATCACTATCACCCTGACAATCGCTAACTTAGTATGGTAGTTCAATTTACATGGATCCCAGTTATCTGGTCCCACTCTTCGGAAAAACATTTTCAGAAACATCAGTGGAATAATGGTAAGTTAAGAGGAGACAGTAAAAACAGCTTACATCCTGGAGGAGCTTTGTTCCTGGAATGTTGTACCGCCCACTGAACAGAGATATAACGGTAGTATAATATGTATTTTGGGTGTGTGTTCGTCTGATAGTCCTTGCTTTTCACCCTAGAGAGAAGCAATCATAAAATATCAATTCTAAGAAACGTGTACTGTGTTTTTATCTTCGACTTTATGTCCCCAGCTGTGATGAAGACATAAACGCACAACATACGATAGATCAATATTCCTAAAGTCTGCATATTGAAAGTGTCAGAATCTATACATTTCATCATGAACCTAGAATTCATTAGGATTATCATTTATCCTTTGGTGAGATCTTCCTTTTACAATCTCTTGCATTTACACCATACTAACCACAGTCAGAAAAGTAAAACAAACAAATCTAATTCCTCGTCTTTCTAAACGATAATTTTAACACCAAAATTGGTCTCACTACACAAAACCTTTGGTATTTCTGAGTACAGATTTATATTGTCTTTCAGGCACACAAAAGAGAATGAAGAGTACCTATTCACTCATACAATTAACTTGATAAATAAGAAAAAATTACTGGATATCTCAAGATTAATTTAAGTGGGTTGGTCGGATTAAGAATAACATTGTCCTACAAGTGGGGACTGCATTACCCATGAAAACACACCTCAACCGACTGAGGGTACAACTTCGTTTAGGTAACCTTTCGTTGCTAGCCAGTGCTTATTTCAGAAACTGCAGGAATCTCTTTTTTTAACGAAATTAGAGGTTTTCACAAAAATGCAGCAGTTACTACATCTGATGAATGCATAAATCAGGGCAAACAAAAGAAATGCAATAAGGCTACTATAAACAGAGATGTACGGATTTTCCAATGACATTAGAAAATCTGGATTAATAAGCAGTGATACTGGATCTTATTTTCACAGTGTATCTGATATATCTATTCAATTTATTAAACGGAAGAGGCCCTCCTTTCGATTTGTCGAGATGCATTGTGGAAATGTTTGAGGGCTGAAGAAAGATTCTCTAGTGGAAATCAACTATATGATGACTTGTGAAGGTTTATCTGAAATGCCCATAGCCGAGTGTCAACTAGCTATGACTACTTTTATTATTGCTTCCGAACTTAATTACAAATGTACTGAATAATTAAGCTAACAGAACCTGTACTTTCTCTTACTTCTGTAGTTGAGAGTGAAGTAGTAGAACCCATTAGTTAATAAAGGAAAAAGCAATACAAATTTATACTAGTCTCATGGAAACATGAACCTCTTGTTTATCAATTGATCCTGGAAATTTGAAGGTTTATTAAGTTTACTTCTACAACCTCACTATTAGTAACAATATTTTAAAACTAAGCTCACAAGCATCCTTAAAAACAAAACTGTAATCACTATTTGAAGCATAAAGAATGCGGCCAACTAAACTATTCCCTATATGTTATTCAGAACTGGAAATGCTGTTCAGATAGTCAGCTTTAAAGCACCCGTACCAAACATAAACAGCTCAGCAGCTAAATGAGGTTAAAATTAATTTCTTATAATTTTAGTCTTAACCTCTATTTTTTAAGAGTAAATCTTCATTTGCTAAGGAAGGCTGAACTTCTGAAAGGTGGATAGAGTGATTGGATAAAGTTCAACATCCACGCATTTCGTCAGTTATTTAAAAACAAAACATATTGTTCCAGAAATTTTCAGTTGTTTTTTTTAAACAAAAGAATGGGTTCAGTTTTCGAATAAGTTATTTGTGTGTATTGTACATATAAGTACAGACGAAATCTATTAAAATTAAGGGCTATCACTCAGCTGGCAATCAGTAATTACTGTTGCTTGTAGCAAACAGCGATACGTAATGACAACAAATAGATAGGTAATTTCCACCAAGCGGGTATATTTCACTTTTCCACTGAATGTATACAATATGATTTGCTTTCCTTTATGTAAATGACAATGTGAATAAAATAATGGCTGCAATTAAGTCATCGTAAATAAACTAAAGGGAATTATTTATAGAAAACAGATACATATAAGCCGACTTACCAGTTCGGACTGTCCACAATTCCGGAGCCATGTAACATAAGGTCCCGTATATGGAGGGTTCATTATATGGTACAGTTCTAGACGATGCGAAATCAGCCAATTTAACATGACGCAATTTATCAAAGCCTAGAATATTTGACGGCTTAATATCTGCATGTACAATTGGAGGGGAACATAGACGATGCAAGTAGTCTGAAGCCCGACTAATTTGTAAAGTCCAAATCAAGACATGCAGCAGATTATAATGAACTTCAGGAAAGTCATACAGCACTAGATAGACAATTAATACAATTTTACAAGAGTAAAAAATTAGAAAAACGCTAAGAGATAAACACTTATACGAATGTAAACACAATACCAGTTCTTCGTATGGCTGCGTTCCCTGAGATAGCTGGTTTAACTACAAAGTTATCATTGTCCTAACACACAACATCTTTAGCGCAAACTTCAATGTGAAATGAAGGCAGCCACATCAAAATCATCCAAGCTAAAAATCTCTTTAATACCAGTGAGAGAGTTAAGTATTAACTTGTTAGGTACTGATCGACATATCAAGAAAATTACCAGGCAGTTGTTGCTTAGATGAAAGAACGTTATTTTTTATTCCACGTGTCACGGATGCTGAATAAGGCAGACATTTTCTTCAACTCAATACTTTTGAGAGAAAACGATGAAACGAAATATAAATGAGCTACAACATTTAATGGGTAGCTACAACGGTTACTGAAATTACCTCATTTGGTGTCAGCAAAACCAAAATGGTAACAATTTGGAGATCGGAAGATTATGCCAAGAATAGCAGTCCAATGCATAATCAAATTCCAAGTCGGTCTAGACAAATGACTAACTAGTGCAAAAAATATGTTGCATTAAAATACACAACCAACCGACAGAATACTCACAACTACAGCTGAATGAGAACCTATTACTTCCTCCTACAAGACAGCAACATAAGCATGAAGAAGCTTCCCCATATTATTTTCCGATGACCTTGACTAATTAAGATTCATAACCTCAGCAACTGATCTGGATTCATCATAGAAATACCGTCAGTTGTCAAGGCGAATATATCGTAAACACGACTTGCACCTCGGGAAGACGTTTTTTTAGTTATTTAAACACAAACTTGCTTTAACATAAACACTAAGAGATGCACCATACATCGATGTAAAACAAAAATATTAGACATAACAAAATTATGAATACATTCACGCAAGAACGAGGGATATTAAAGTACAAATACCACCGATCTCCGTTCTGTAGTGAAAATAAATGTGGAGAGATCGCAGTTAGTTGCATAATTCAAACCCATAATGAAATTGTATGGACTAAAATCTTATCTTAATTTGTGTGACCGCCTTAGTTGCATAGAAATTCGCACAAAGGTGCATCAGTCCAGGTGGCGACGTGGGATGAAGGATTTTTGTGCTAGATTAGCATCGGTTGGTGCGTCACGACTCCCTGGTTGGGGTCCGCGATATAGCTCGAATCGATGGCTCGAAACGTTATCGGATATGGCCAAGAATCGTAATCAATGGCGAACGTGTTGCTTCTTTCTTCCCTTCCTGATGATAGTTAACGAGTACTGTTTGATCTTGTTAAACATGACTGTTTTCCTTCCAGATGAAGTTCTTTATCCGTTTTCTACTTATATTTTTACTTTTAATCTATGTTGTTTTATTATTATTGTGTGGCGCATCTTTCTTGGTGCCATATTGTACCAAGTTTTCTTCTGCATTTAAATAAAATTAAATAATCAGTCCAGGTTGAAACACTTCTGAAATGTACGTATTAAAGTAATGAAAAGAAGTGTTATGAGATTAAGATCGATTAAATGAAAACTAGTGAGGATTCTCAAAATCTAGAGGAGACCAGTAGTCTTCAGTTGCTAAGTCTTACCATCTCAATTGCACAAATCAGCCAGTTTATGTTTCATTGTGTGTCTCGTATGGAGAGTCAAAGATTTTATTGACTGATGTCATGGTTCGGTCTAACTACTTCCAGCTATTTACCAATTGTCTCAATTCAGCTAACATTGTTTGGTAAGGAACGTAGTGGGTCTAATTGCATTAGACATTTCTATGCTACCTCAATCGATGAGGCTTCACAACCACCTCGATTGACCGTCTCGTCTTATTTGACATGACACCTAACCTCATTGTTACTGACCTTATTACTCCACCAACCATGAGTGATAGGATGAAGGTACTTGTGGTCAAACACCACTAATCCTCTCACATGTCCCACCATCACTCGCCATGTCTGCCAGTCACAAAGTGAGACGGTGTGAAATACTACACAGTACACATGTCTTTTGATGGATGACCTGGTATCGCGCCGGCACCATGATATGATGCAAGCTGGTAAATTCAAAATGAGACTTTTGTATTTTGGATGAAATTTCGTCGATGACTGGTTCATTAGAGATAATGCGATCCCCCAAATAATTGAGGTGGTTAATGCATTCACTCATTTCCCCACGTATCCTTAAACTGATAGTCAGTGAGAACTCGTCCTGCAGTCATATCTCATAGATAATTGGGGCGTGTATCATGCCAAATGCTCAGCTCTCTCCTAAAGGAATTCAGAAGTCTGGAATTTCATGATATAACCTTACACTTTATACAGTGACTTGGTGTATAAAGACTGTTTGACCATTTAAAACGGAATGAAGGTATTAGAAGTGTGACTATGCAATGTAGAGAACACGCTTGAATTTTCATTATTGAAGGCACATTTGCAACAAGTTAAGGTCAGTGGATTGATAGGATCCCACACACTTTGTTATTGTTCAATTATCTTAACGACTGTTAATCTCGTATAAGTTGTATATCATCAATTCTCACACACTTTGTTATTGTCAATTATCTTAATGACTGCTAATCTCGCATATGTGTTATATTATCATTTCCCAGGCACTTTGTTATTGTTCAGTTATCTTAATGACTGTTAATCTCGCATATGTGGTATATCATCATTCCCACGTATTTTGTTATTGACTATTACGACCAATTATTTCAAATACTGTTAGCTGTCTCTATTGGTTGTAAAATTGTATAAATACCATTTCCTAAATAAGTTTGGTTGTCGTTGTTGTAGTCGTCGTCGTAGTCATAGTTGTTGTACTACAATACACAGTCAGAGACCAGACTTTGTCTTTTGATATTTGCGTGGTTCGCTGAATCGGAAGGTACCAGAAGCAGATAGGCATATTATTCAGGCGCAGACAGAATAAGCCAACAACGTACCTCATTAAATTCCGTCCACAGTTATAACAATTGGCGACGGGGGTTTACTTTCATTCACTGCAGTTATAACAAGCAAGCGACGACGTGTTTTATTCTGTTCAGCGCATCTATAGAACATTTTTGACTGTGTTAATTACAACCCAATTACAATGTCTATCTCTCTGGACGATCTCAAATCCATCTTGCAGCAGCAGCAACTTCAGAATGAAGCAGCTCAACTTAAATTAATCGAAGCTCTCACTCAGAAGCTGTCAATTCAAGTCCCATCAACATCTCATTCAGAAAAATACGAAAGCATCTCAAATTCCATCAGTGAATTCAACTACGACCCAATATCTGGTCTCGTATTTGATGCATGGTTCAATCGTTATGAAGACGTTTTTCGTATTGAATGCCACATGTTTGATGATGCTGCCAAAGTCCGATTGTTACTACGAAAACTTGGTACTGTTGAGCACAACAGATATGTTAACTTCATTCTGCCTAAGAACCCACGTGAATTATCATTCGATGAGACAGTCACCGTTTTATCACAAATCTTTGGTGAACAGTCATCCATGTTTAATATTCGGTATCAATGTTTTCAGTTGACAAAAATGCCTTCCGATGATTATGTTACTTACGCTGGCAAAGTGAACAAAGAATGCGAAAGGTTCAAACCACATGAAATGACATCAGATCAGTTCAAGTGCTTGATTTTTATTTGTGGGTTGAAGAACCCTGAAGATACTGACATAAGAACTCGGCTTCTGTCACTCGTGGAACAAGACCCAAAAATGACTTTACAAATGGTGATAGCAGAATGCCAACGCTTAATCAACTTGAAGCACGATACTGCTATGTTGGAGTGCAAACGACAGTCGTCTGAATTTGATTCAGTTAACACAGTGAAAAGTCCCCCGATCACCGTTAAGCACACAGCACGTCAGTCTCAGAATTCAGCTAAACCTCCTTCAGTGTGCTGGCACTGTGGTTCGTGGCATTTTGTCAAGTTCTGTCCTTTCAAGAAACATAAATGCCGTAATTGTCACCGTTTTGGACATAAAGAGGGTTACTGTACACCACAGAAAAATTCTTCGGTGAAGAACAGAAGTCGTCATTTCAAGCCGAAACAATCTTCTCGAATACAGACCGTTTTCACAACTTCCAAAGTCAATTTCGCCAGCAAACGTAAGTACATTACACTACGCATTAACGGCAAATCTATTCGTCTTCAGTTGGATACGGCATCAGATATCACTTTAATTTCCCGAACTACGTGGCGCAAACTTGGGTGCCCACAGATTCTGCCGACCGCGCATGTCGCTAAGAATGCCTCAGGAGACATACTGAAACTCGTGGGTGAGATAAATTGCCAGGTTTTATTTGGTGAGCAACAGTTCAATGGTGTATGTTATGTCACAAACTACCATGATTTGAATTTGCTTGGTCTTGACTGGTTAGACAAGCTCCATTTCTTCAATGTACCATTAAATTCAGTATGCTCTAATGTTTCGTCCTCACCAAATAATGTTGTTCCCGGACATGTATCTGATCAGTCTCTCGTGCAACGCCTGCGTGCTTATGCAAAACCGAAGGGGGAGGGAACAACAGAAGAAATTTTGGATAGATCCTTGCTACATTATCATCGTACGACGCCAAATCCTTCCACAGCCGAAAGCCGGGACGCAGATCACAATCTATCCAGTACGCGAAAGTCAACTCGACAAAGAAGAGCTCCAAAACCTTTTCAAATAGGTTCAAAAAGCAAGTCCTACACTTTTAACGGGGGGAGGTGATAGGATCCCACACACTTTGTTATTGTTCAATTATCTTAACGACTGTTAATCTCGTATAAGTTGTATATCATCAATTCTCACACACTTTGTTATTGTCAATTATCTTAATGACTGCTAATCTCGCATATGTGTTATATTATCATTTCCCAGGCACTTTGTTATTGTTCAGTTATCTTAATGACTGTTAATCTCGCATATGTGGTATATCATCATTCCCACGTATTTTGTTATTGACTATTACGACCAATTATTTCAAATACTGTTAGCTGTCTCTATTGGTTGTAAAATTGTATAAATACCATTTCCTAAATAAGTTTGGTTGTCGTTGTTGTAGTCGTCGTCGTAGTCATAGTTGTTGTACTACAATACACAGTCAGAGACCAGACTTTGTCTTTTGATATTTGCGTGGTTCGCTGAATCGGAAGGTACCAGAAGCAGATAGGCATATTAGTCAGGCGCAGACAGAACAAGGCGACAACGTACCTCATTTAATTCCCCCTACAGTTACAACAAATTGGCGACGCGTTTACCTCAATTCATTGCAGTTATAACATGGATACAAATTAATCCAGGTTTTAAGACAGTGACAGAGATATTTTATGATGATCTTAGGTGTACAGAAAGTTATCAGTCCCTGTTAATTGCAGTGAATAGTTGGTTTTTTTGAGTTATCAGTAAAAAACCAAAAGTACTGATACACATATGAACGTGTGGTCATAAAGTCTAAGCAGTGTTTGATTGTCATCACTTACACAATGCTGTCTCAAAGAATTTGATTTAGTGCTTTTAAAACCCGACAAAACTCTAACCCAGAAACTGTCATATTCAGTCGTTGAAATGTAGAACTAAACCAGCTTACCTCTTCATCAGAGGTCTCAGTCACAGTGAAAACCAAGAGGAAAAATACTCTAGATAGAACAATCATGACGATAAAGAAACCCAGCCACCACCGCTGGAAAAAGTAGAATAACAACGGGTCATATGTTTCATCCGTCAATATAGTATAAGGACCAGAGTGACTTCGTTTATTGGCTACTGGATTCGACTTCTAATCCTGAGTTCGAATCGCACTCCACTTTGAATAACTGGGTAGCATCATTAGCCTTCTCATAAAAATCTGTTCTGGGTAACTAATTTGTATTCAAACCCTTACACTAGAGAAAAAACTCATTTTGTCCAGAAAATCTCCATAAAAACAACAAAAAGATATGTTGAGATGAAGTTAAAGAATAATTTAGAAATGGAATTTACATTTTACTATTAAACATCCTAAAGTGGTAAGAATTTCATGTGCCTCAGTATTTTATGCCATAAGTAGGATTACACTGGAAAAAGAAGACTATTATGGCCAATAAATGACATCAACTCAGGCAGTAGTTGTTGGTCTGAACCATGTACATTTAATGACTACAGAAACTGATGATCAAAGACTACGTGATACAGTTCAGGATAGGCCACAGTGGAATAGACACATACCTACCTTCTCTTCATTTTAACTGTAATATAACATTTATTTATTCGTTTTATGTATCCCTGCTTTTTCTGATATCACACAACAATCTATAAATATGTGAACTCCATGGCTTCGTTTTCATTCTTGCTACTTATTTAGTGTAGATATGAAGTTTAGCGACTTAAACTACCATGCAGTAGAGCTAGGTCCTATGTGGATTTCTGTCTACAAAGTGATAATTCTGAAGTAATTACGTAAAAGTTCATAGATACCGTTTGTGCATTATAATACGGGAATATTTGTTCATTCTGTCTTTGAATTTTTCGCGTACATACACCAAAGGGTGATACAATTCATTTGAGTTATTCTCCAACCTTTCTACAATATTTTCTGTATGAATTTGACAGGTTTTTTTTATTATAGCTTGATTCCACACAGTATTTTTGGTACAAGTATGAAATTTTCAGCATGTGATATCGGTAGCCCAAATTTTGCAGGCCGACCATAGATATCAGGTGTGCGTCGGCAGGGGATCGAACCTCAGACCATGTGCATGGTCGGCGAGAGTCCTAACCGCTGTGCCACCGACGCACTTAGATTAATTTCATTTACATCACACTTAAATGCCTCAGTATGCGATATATATTCCGCGTTTACATTAATGCACTTAAATTAATTTCCTACTAACAACTGGTACACATGCTGTAATATATTGAATATTCGTATCCGAAATATATCTGCTTAAATGACTGTATTTTTAAATTTATTCCGAAGTTTTGCTGTAGTGTATCACAAAACAGTATCATGGCCCTTAAAATAAGTTAGAGCAACTGATAAGTTGTTCTTCCAGAGGTATACTCACTTAGACATATGAAAGCGTTCAACTTCCAGTCACTGAGTCATAGCTTCAAGCCCACTGTTATGACTGGGACAATTGAATAGAGATGTTTGCTAACAAGTAACTACTGACAGTCATAACCTAATGCAAGATCTCATACAGTCACTTAATTCGCCTTCTAAGTTAAAAATCAAACAAAATTATTCTAAAATAAATAGATATACCTTTCTGTAATGACTGACACTCGGCATATTCAAGAACTAAAAAAGAAAGACTGTGTGGCAATGCAGGTCCAGCAGCAATTAACTTTATGATATTTTCATGTTCAATATGTGCGATAATTGATAATTCTTTCCGTGCCAAATGCAAACAATTTTCACGAAAGCGTTTCACGACAACACTCCTGTCATTCCAAAATCCAAGATATATATCAGCGGAAGACGTCACTGCTAAAGTATGCTAAATAAATAAAGTGAGTTGTGATTCGGGCAAAATTACCTTTTTTATGAATATTTTTTCCAATAGTTCCGCATTAACATTGATAACTGATTTGCAAGACAAACCATCCACCATAATAAATTTCGCAGATTTGGTATGACCGAAAATTGAAATGCTGCTTCAGTTTGAAAAAACGGAATATTTACAACCATTAATGCTTGAAAACGTACTCACTAAAACCAATGATAACTAAGATCTTTATTTAACACTTTACGCCTAATCTGAACTCACTGGCTTCATTTTATGCTTCCCAGTATATAAGGCACATTATAGGCAGCCAAAAATATTCTCATTACCAGTTCCGACGGTTTTATACATGCTGGAAATTCTTCACTTTAGACTCCAGTGTCAAATCAAGAGTAAAATTACACCAGCACTAAAGTGTTATCTTACATTTGAAAGGACACTTTTAGGTATAGCCTAAATGATCTATTACTTCCCCAAAATTTAAATCAACCAACTTAATTCTTTACAGATAAGTAGTCTTTACGATTGGGGTGAAGTAGAGTCATTTTATAATTGCATCTTTAATAAAATTAAGTAGACGCCGTAATATCGGAATTTGTTGGACGACTCCATTTCAGACAGCAATGTTCAAGTGGATCTTACGCAGCTATATGTGTGCGATGACAGTGTGTACCGAATCACTTCAAGAAACCATTGTTGGTTTGAATTCTATAAGAGTATTCAACCTTAAACTGTGGATTGTAAAACAAAACCGAAAATACGGCTAAAAAAGTAGTTACGGTAGAGGGAATGCAGGAACGTTTTTGTAATTTTAAATGCCGTCCTGTAGCATGTTTCTGTGAGGTTTGTCATATTCCCACTTTTTAGAAATTCTTCTTTCACCTTTGTTGCTTCATGGACTGGTGAAGTTTTGCATTTCGGATAACAGTAAAACCACGTCACCTTGTGATCACCTTAATGCAAATCGCCTGATTAGGAAATTGGTATTACACTTCTAACCCCCTATTCCTGGCATTTTGTTACTTCTTCCAACTACCCCAAAAAATGTTGAATACACCTCAAACAAAGAGCAATGGACGCATGACTCTGAAGCCCCATATTCTACTCGGAACAAATAATAAAATGATAGGTATAATAATTAACCGAAAAATCAATCTACTCAAGCGATCCATAATATTTCCACTTTAAGGAAATCATAATCTCCACTCATTGTTTCACATAGTGTGTGAGCATTCCGAATTACTGTGACACATGTGTGGGCTTGATCAAAAGCTTATATTTCTCAGTGGAATAAAAAAGAGACAATTTTAGTGGGACTTCATAGTTACTTCCCCAAAAACTGTTGTCATGTTAACTCCATTGTGGATAAGATTTTATTTTGATAAATCACACAGTGTTGTACAGTAATATTAACTGATGACGTTTCGAGCACAAACTATTGCTAATAATCATATCAAGTAACTTGAAACAACGCTGTTAAGCTGATATAGTTTTGAAAATACTTAAGAGAAGAAAAGGGTGCTGAATTAGTGCCAGTAATGCTGAGAACTAGCACTGAGTTCTAGTATGTGGGCTTAAACAAACCATTTGAGAACAAAGCTTTGTTCAGTATTACACTGAGTAGTTCAGGAACAGCATGGCTATGAGTATAGATAACGCCTAAAGTATCTAACTGGAACTTTCATTTTTATACACCGAAGTGATAAAAGTATCTATACTACTAATGAACGCAACTGCAGTTGCGTTGTAAGAAACACATGAACGGAATGTATCAAAAATGCCATAACAAACTGAATAGTGGTTTCACCCTTTTAAAATAAAAATTAAAAACCCTAGCTCACTCGAAAAGTAAGTGGGAAATTGTGGAATAATCTGAAGCGATAACTACTAACAAGCTTCCTACATATTTATCTTAAAAAGAATAACGGGAACAGTTGGAAGGTCGGCCTTGAGCACAACGGATTGCATTCAATATCTAATGTCATCATCCAATATCCAATATCCAATATCCTGATTACGAGCTAGTATAAACCAGTGATTTCTTTGAGCTCGCTTCTTGATTTTAAGGTAGAGGTTCCAGATCTTCGGTGAACTTATGCGTAGTAAATCCCGCCACTCGACTGCTTTAGCTCTGGTAGACTCCAGGAGGAGTGATGCGAGGATTGGTCAAGATTGTGGTTTGTAGTGTGCAGTATGTTAGGACTCAGCTGCTGCCGTGAATGGAGTTTGACCTAACACCCGTCGGTCGTTCGGTATAGTCATAAAAGTAGAGTAATAATAATAATAATGATAATGATAATAATAGGTTGTAGTGTAGATAATATAGGTTGAGATAAGTGAAATAATAAAGAAAGAAAGATAGAGTAGTCGGTACAGTGGGGGAAGACAGGACGGGTCGTGAAGATTTAGCTTGTATGCTTGTCCATTGACAATGTGGTTTCAAATTTTAAGAGGGTAAGCCATTGAGACACAAACCATGCATTTCTGCATGATTGTCCAGCTTCCGCTTAAAAATCTCCACAGATGGAGCTGTAGTTACGGCCGCCGGTAAAGCGTTCCAGAGACGGCAAACTCGAAGCGAGAAGAAATGTGAACGCACTCGAGTCCTTGGTCTCTGGTGTGCTATCCTTAGCGGGTTACCTCGTGGAAGCCTATAATCACTTAATGGCAGGATGCTCTTGTTAGGATGGGCCTGGTCATTTAGGATCTTATAGACGGTGATGAGGTCTCCCCTGTGACTACGGTAACTAAGTGTGAAAAGACTTAATTTCTTCAGTCTCTCCTCATATGATTTGTTGCGGAGGCCGATCACCCATTTTGTCGCTCGTCTCTGGACACTTTCTAGCTTGTTAGTATCCCTTTTGAGTAGCGGAGGAGCAATGATATTATGCACCTCAAGGAGTGGCCTCACGTATGTCGTATACAACGTTAGGAATAGTTCAGGAGTAAGAGCTCCCAGTTGCCTATGCATAAAGTGTAAAGTGCCGTAAGCTTTGGCGACGTCCCTCGTGTAATTTACACTGGTGTCTAGCTTTTCTGTTAAAATAAGGCCTAGATCGCGTTCTGATGGCACACAACTCAAGTTCTGGCCACCAAGGGTGTAATTTGCACTCTGTGACCTGCCGGAATGAAGTTGCACTACTTTGCACTTCTTTAAGTTGAAAGGCATTCCGTTAGCCAGAGCCCAGTCCCCCAGCGTTTGCAGGTCAGCCTGCAATCTGTCGGAGTCTTCCGATGAGTTTATTGCTCTCCAAATCTTTACGTCGTCAGCGTAAAGAAGCGCAGAGCAATTCAGTTGACAGGGCAGGTCATTGATAAAAATCAAAAACATCAACGGCCCTAAGATAGAACCCTGAGGAACCCCTGATGCCGAGGTGTGCCAGGATGATCGGATGCGGTTGACTTTGGTGCAGAATTCTCTCTCGCCTAAATAATCTTCCAGCCATGCGAGAAGTGCTCCAGAAACACCCGCTTTGCTTATTTTGTGAAGGAGCAGACCATGGTGAACTGTGTCGAATGCTTTCGCAAAGTCGAGAAAGATCACATGGACTGGTACCTTTACATCCCAGGATAGTGTCCAATCGTTCCAAGCTAGTAGAAGATTCGTCACACAGGATCTTCCCTTCCTGAAACCATGCTGTGCTTCATGGAGTAGGTTAGTCCCGTCGAAGTATTTTCTCATGTGGTCGTCAATGAGACTTTCGAATATCTTCGATATCACTGGGAGTAGCGCAACTGGTCTGTAACTGGTCGCGTTCTGCCGGTCACCACCCTTGAAGATAGGGGAAAGGATGGCTCGTTTCCATTCACATGGAAGTTTCCCTACATCAAAGGAGTGTTGAAACAGATCACTTAGGGGTTGGCAGAGACTTTCTGAACACTGCTTCAGGACGGATGGTCTTATGTCGTCGCAACCTGCAGACTTTCCCGAAGCCAACTTTCCCAATTTTATGAGTACCATAGCCGGGGTAATTTGAAATGTACCCAGCAGGTTTTCGCACGTTGGTCTTGCATTGTAATCTTGATGTTTTGTGAGGGTAAAATCCTCGTTACTGTTCAGTTGCCTGTGATGACCTTGCGAAGACCAACTTGTTTTCTGGAATTAACTTCTTTTTGTGGGATATAGGAAGTCGAAGAATTAACTTGATTTTTAGAGGTTTCACTGGCAATCTCCAATCTACTCATATCTACTGGTAGCGACCAAAGAAGACATCGTGGTTGGATAGCACTGTGAAGAGGCCTGTAAATGGTGCATAATCACTATATTCTTGACTGGTGGCATAGTGTTAGGAGCAGCCTGGCAACCAAGCGCAGGTAAGCCACTCGTGCAAATACGGCATAAGACCAAGAGCTATTCAGTAACATTGGACAGTTATCTATTATAAAACAAAGAACGCCTACGTCATTCGTCAAAACTGAAGCTTTGCTGAATGTTCATGCGCGTTATTAGAGTTCGCAGATTTGATCGAATTTGCCTTTTGAGTTGATCTGTCTTACTTAGCTGAGTCTAACCAGGTACAACAGTGATTTCCTCGACTTCAAAGGGGCTTTCTGTCGCTTCCATCACTTTCATCTTAATAGCAAGTACTACCTGTTCGCAAAATCACTATACAACCACTCTTATCGGTCAGTTAGCAGTATAAACAATTCGCACTCTTCCACAGACTTCCAGTAACCTACTTATGAGAAAGGATAGATATCCACCTCCATTCCGGCTGTTGGTTTGTGTGTCATGACCTGGTCCTCTGACTTAGTTTTCCCCTCTAAACACTGCATGCGATTTTTCATGACGTTTCTTGTTGTTACATCTCCCCCTAATATCCAGGACCCTATTCTACAAGTTGCCAGTACTTGTGTGGCACACGTGCCTCCATGTAATCTGATTTTACCTCAGAATAAATGGCATAGCTTGGCATTTCGACGACAATATAACAGAGTATTCCGTTGAGCCAAGACCAATCTAGTAATCCAATAACCATGCGAATCCAGCCATTCAATAACACTGGGACGATTTACATACCCGTACTCCTAAATTACAAGATGACAATAAAAATTCCTTTAATTCTTTCACCTGAACAAACTTCAATGTCCCAGTTGGCACGTCGTTATTCATCTACCTTCGGCAGGCCAAAATTAAATTATGTATCACCTCTGCTTAAACGCATTATGAGCATATGGCATTTGAATCAAATCAGTCCACCTATTGTCTTCAGTATTCTGGTCCGAATTGAAAAGTTTAACAACAACAGACCTAAGAAGGAGTCGCAAAGTTAGGCATTAACCGTAGCTGTTGCCATTAAATTTATCTAACTGGCATTCGATTCCATGTCTGATATCAGATATTAAATTTTGGGGCCGCTGAGGAATGGAGTACCTCAGCGCCATAGCGTAAGATATTTAGCCCCAAACAGATGAAAGTTCTGCCAGATATTCTTCCAAGGTTAGACACCTCTACTGCCACGCGCTTACAGTATTGTGAACCGACTAGAATCAGTCAACCAAGGATATATTAAATAAATCATTTGGGCATTTAGTATTATTCCCTTGAGCTCCGATTGGAACATAGGGCTTGAAAAACACATCTCCATTTTGTCCTATGTTTTGCTGTCCTCTTCAACTTGAACCACGATCACCTACTATCTCTCATCTCTTCCTCACTGGATCTCATCCATGTCATCCTCGCACCGACAACCCACTCATCGCCTCACGTTTGGATTCCACTCCAGCGATGGCCTGCATTGCATGTGATGTCATTCAACAGCCTCCTCAACGCATCCCCAGTCCATCTCCATTTTCGCCTACATATTTGTTGAGCAATAGGCTCTCACCTGTTGGTTTGTTCCCAGACAGAGTTTCTCCTTACTAATTCTTCCTGGCCAACCAGCTATTTGATCTTCAGTATGGAAACAGCCAGCGAAGTAGGCAGCTGTTGATAAAAGTCTGCAGTTGGCTGTTGGAAATGCTTTTCGTAACACGCTGGCCAAGTTTCCGACCCTTATAGAAACACTGACCGATTTCACAATGGTGTTGGAAATCTGAATCTTGTTCTTGATGCTAGCTGAATGCAGAACATTTCTCAACTGGTTTCAGGTTGATAAAGGCGTATCTTGCCTTTCCGATTCTAGCCTATTTACACATTTTCATCCGTTCCGACTGCCTACAGTTGAAACGATGCTTCCTAGATTAGTGAAGGCAGGAAGTAACCTCTGTCAAATCTCTCCCGTTGATGGTGAGTGGTGCTGGTTTTTGTTGTTGTTGCTGTTGCGGTTCGTTGGTTATCTTCATCAGCTACCTCCGTCTTCTCTATGTTCACCTGCAGTCCTGTCTTCGCTGCCAGCCTCTTCAGTCAGTTTTTTGGTTTTCGCTTGTAAGTTTTCGAGTTTGTGTGATATTAGACATGTATTATCCACATGCGGATTCCAGATCTTCTAGAGTGTTCTTATAGGTGGTCTAGAGTATTCCTATCTCCTCGCTCCGCATAACCCAGTACACCATAGTTAGGAATATCATTATAGGTAGTAGTCAGCCTACATTGTCTTACTGCTTTCTTCACTTCGAACACCTCTCTGAGTTTGCCGTTGTGGATGATCTGACAGGCGTTGTCATATAGCGAGCAGTTGAATGAGGTTGATAAAGACTTTGGCATTGTACTCCATAGTGTTGAAGTAGTTTCCAAATTACGTCTCGATCAACGTTGTCGAAGGTGTTTTCGAAGTCGATGAAGGAGGTTGAGGTGGAGTTTTAACTGCCATTGTATTCTTTGTTCTGTGATGACGGTGCGTAGAGTTGCAATTTGATCAGCACATGATTTGTCTCTCCCGAATCCAGCTTGTTGTGGTCGGTGGGGCTGTGTAGTTCTGTATCCAGTGCGTCTTTTATTCTCTCCAGGATGATACGACTTAGTATTTCACTAGGCGTGGACAAGAGCATAATTGCACGCCCAGTTCTTGCGGAGTGAGGA